ATAGAGACGGGGTTTCACCATGTTGCCCAGGCTGGAGTGCAGTGGCACAATCTCAGCTCACTGCAACCTCTGCATCCCGGAGTCAAGTGATTCTCCTGCCTCAGCCACGAAGTAACTGGGATTACAGGCTCACACCACTATGCCCGGCTAATTTTTGTATTTTTAGTAGATGGGGTTTCACTCTGTTGGCCAGGCTGGTCTCAAACTTCTGATCTCGGATGATCCATCTGCCTCAGCCTCCCAAAGTGCTGGGATTACAGGTGTGAGCCCCAGCGCCCAGCCAGAGACCTTGTCTCTTAAGAAAAAAATAATTGGCAGCTGCAGAAGTGTTAGAATCAAAGTGGAGTTAGAAGTGCCTGCGGGGTTACTGCATCCCACCACCCCTCCTGCTGCTTCTGCATAGTATTTTCTAAGTGCCTTTTCTAGGCCCTGGCAAAGAACACGATTATCACTGACATTTGCTGGCAAGCTTTGAAGACCTTGTGTCTCCAAGAGGACTTAAGATGCAAGTGTCTTTGTTCCTAGTCTGTGGGTGGCAATGTCGTGGGCATGTGTGTTTGAACAGTGCTCTGTGCCTCTGTGAGGTGGGAGGGCAGAGCCTGTCCTTGTTTACTAAAAGGGACCCGAGAGCCCCCACAGGGGTGGGAGGACAGGTTAGGCTTAAAAGAGCCAAGTGCAGTCTGGAAGAGGAAAGAATTGGTGAGAACTTGCATAGCCCTGCCACGCCAGGAGCTTGGGTAAAATAAACAGGGAGGGAAACAACAAATAAAAGTCAACAGCCAAGAAATGTAGGAGGGTAAATTGTAAAGAAGAAAAGCAAACAAAAGAAAAATGCAGTGGCTGGGCGCGGTGGCTCATGCTTTAATCCCAGCACTTTGAGAGGCCAAGGTGGGCAGATCAGGAGGTCAGGAGTTTGAGACCAGCCTGGCAAACAGGGTAAAACCCCATCTCTACTAAAAATACAAAAATTAGCCAGGCATAGTGGCAGGTGCCTATAATCCCAGCTACTTGGGAGGTTGAGACAGGAGAATTGCTTGAACCTCGGAGGCAGAGGTTGTGGTGAGCGGAGATCACCCCACTGTACTCCACTCCAGCCTGGGTGACAAAGCCAGACTCCATCTCAAAAATAATAAAAGAAAAATGCAAGGGGGTGTTGTGTAGCCCTTTAAAATGATATCAACAGAGACTTGGTAGTGACATGGGAAACTAAATATTCAAGAATTAAAAAAAAAATTTTAAAGTAGAATACATGATTGTGTGACGCACCATGATTGTAAAAAATATTAATTTTTTCTTTCATACCAAGCAATTCTAGAAGGGAATGTGCATAAATGAAAATAATAGTGACTGGGTGCAGTGGCTCATGCCTATAATCTCTCTGGGAGGGCAGGGCAGGTGGTTCACCTGAGGTCAAGAGTTCGAGACCAGCCTGGCCAACATAGTGAAACCCCCATGTCTACTAAAATCACAAAAATTAGCTGGGCATGGTGGCACGTGCCTATAATCACAGCTACTTGGGAGGCTGAGGCAAGAGAATTGGTTGAACTTGGGAGGCAAGGGTTGAAGTGAGTCGAGATAGTGCTACTGCACTCCACACTCCAGCCTTGGCGACAGTAAAACTCCGTCTCAAAAAAAAAAAAAAAAGAGGCTGGAGTGGTGGCTCGCACCTGTAATCCCAGCACTTTCAGAGGCCGAGGCCGGCAGATCACGAGGTCAAGAGATTGAGACCATCCTGGCCAATATGGTGAAACCCTGTCTCTACTAAAAAATACAATAATTAGCGTGATGGCACATGCCTGTAGTCCCAGCTACTCAGGAGGCTGAGGTAGGAGAATCACTTGAGCCCGGGAGGCAGAGGGTGCAGTGAGCTGAGGTCGTGCCACTGTACTCCAGCCTGGTGACAGAGCAAGACTCCATCTCAAAAAAAATAAAAATAAAAGCAGGTTGGGGCATGATGGCTCACACCTATAATCCCAGCACTTTGGGAGGCCAGAGTGGGCAGATTGCTTGAGTCCAGGAGTTCAAGACCAGTCTGGGCAACATAGTGAGACCCCCATTTCTACTAGAATAAAATAAGCTGGGCATAGTGGCACATGTCTGTAGTCGCAGCTACTTGGGTGGCCAAGGCTGGGGGAATGCTTGAGCCTAGGAGTCTGAGACCAATGTGGGCAACAGAGTGAGACCCCATTCGTACAACAAGGTTTTTTTAAAAATTAGGGGGCTAGGCGTGATGGCTCACACCTTTAATCCCAGCACTTTGGGAGGCCGAGACAGGCATATCATAAGGTCAGGAGTTCGAGACCAGCCTGGCCAACACAGTGAAACTGTCTTTACTAAAAATATAAAAATTAGCCAGACATAGTGGCGAACACCTGTAATCCCAGCTACTCAGGAGGCTGAGGCAGGAGAATCACTTGAACCTAGGAGGCGGAGGTTGCAGTGAGATGAGACTGTGCCATTGCACTCCAGCCTGGCTTACAGAGCGAGATATCATCTCAAAAAATTATTAAAATTAATTTAAAAAATAAAAATTAGCCAGGCATGGTACTGCTCAGCTTTAGTCCCAGTCCCCATTACTCACGAGGCTGAGGCTAAGCACGGGAGTTCGAGGCTGCAGTGAGCTATAATCAAGCCATTGCACTGAGCTTGGATGACAAAGCAAGGCCCTGTCTCCTAAAAAAAAGAAAAAAAAAAGG